ACAGAGGGACCATGGATGGCTTGCACTGTACCACCCACAGCTCCATTCACACACCCCATACCCAGTGTAAACCCGAAGGAATAAGACCGGGTGGCATGCGAATGGGAGCCACGTTTCATCAACGGAGTCGGCCCACACTCCTTCACACAGAAACACACACGCCGTGTTTGGGGAATCAAGCGGACACAAGGCGGTGGCTGGACCGTAGTCCGTCTCACACTGAGTGCATGGAACCACTCTTTGATCCTAACACGGCCACAAGGACCGCGCACCCCGTCCCCTCCAGCAACGACCAGCTGTCTCATGGAGCCGGTATGGACGAGGTAGTGGGTAATAGACATGTTGGCACCTTGTCAACATGCACATCAAGCGCAGCCACACCTGGGATATCAAACAACAGCCAATCATTCAAAATGCCGGTGTCAAGTAAAAGCTATCGAATAAAGTCAACGTATATGATGACATAAATACTCGCTAAATCAGCGTTTGCAATAAATTGGTTATAAGCGATTCCGCGATAAATACAAAATGTCCGAAAGTTAGTTAAAAATTACTACGTGATACAGTTACGCAAGGTTACCACAATTAGCATGATTGACGTGTGCAAGTTAGGAGATTATCAAGTACGCAGAACAAACCAAATAAAGTGGAATGAATTTTATCCACATTAAGAAGACATAGTTTAAGTGTAAGCTGGTTTAGCCCAACTATGGTGAAGAAGCATCATGAATGCAACATCAGCCTCAAGATGGGGCACATATAAATAGGCAAATACATACTAATAATTACATGTATATATATAATTATTTATATACATATTGTTTGAGACCAGGGGACATGTTTACACACAGTACATTATCTAACGGTTAATAATGATTCCAGTCACCATTTCGATTACACGGTTAAGACTTCCCAAGGTAACTTCCACTGCAAACCAATCCCTACTTACAAACCATATGCTATACATGGACACTCATATATTTGTGCAAATTTACCATACATGCTGCCACTTCGTTCATTTTATGGAAACATAGCGCAGCCTTTTCTAAGCGATTTTTTACATTCTTTCCTTTTTAACCACGCGTACAGTTATACATTACCTTTCCTACTTTTATACGACTGCTAGTAAGCATGGTACCGTGCAGTTTTCAGCTTTTTGGAGTTCCCGACCTCATTAGAAACACCTTACGCAAGAAATTACCCTATTAAAACCCATCCAAGTAGAGAACTCAGAAACTAGTTGTCCTGATGAGCAACAGCCTGTACTCAAAACCCCGTGATTGACGGACTCGACGGTCCCAAAGTCCTTCCCCAGCGGTACTCAGCATCTTTAGGTAGTTAAGCCCATTTAGTTTGTTTTCCCACATAGTTGGTGACCCCGTTTTCTTTTTTTGTAAGCGCAGAACTTCTTTTTGGTGCTTTCACTATGTCGAATCACGTTTCCGCACTGACACTTCAGAATATTTTGTTGATCTCACATTGTCAGCCTTCGAACCAGATAATCCACATGTGGGATTATTGCCATTAGAAGCCCTTTCCCCATCCGTCACATTAATTCGCGATCACTAATGTCCACACGCTTCGCTGCCAAGCTTCCTATAGGAAGGTATATTCACATCGCAACTGACCATATAGATTTGCTCTATCCGATTCCGGCAGATACGTCTTACGATAAGCTGAGTGCGTCCGTTTCGAAGCCTACCATGGCTTCCGACGAAGCTAGAATTCCATAGCTACCCTCCGGTGTTGAGCTAGGCGATCGCAAAAAGTCGCAACTTCATAGGTCCAGACTACGTTGGCCGATTCAACTAAGATCGACGACACTATTCTGAGAAAACTGTGGGCGAAATGTCCACCAACGAACATCTCAACTCTTCTTGCTGTATTCGCGGATGACCTCTCTGAACAAACTGGCAGAGACCGTCGATAAGGTTTACGACTGCTTCTTTAAAAAAGGCAGCATGTCATTCCGTTGAGTCGACCGTTAGCCGCGAGCATATGAATGACCCAATTGAACCGACTTCTGAGAGGTTATCAAACCTAGAGCTCGCTGCCATGATAGTAGCCCTAGACGCTCCTCTCGAAATAGACCTAATCCCACCAGGTGTCCGACACGGCACTTCTGTTGGTACCATCACCGTTTTGAAGATAATGCGAGGAATTGTCAACCTGGATGTAAGCATGCAAAAGCATTCTGCAAACCGCAGCAGCGAAACCACAACGCCAGCCAGTGATGGCGACGGTTGCGCATGGTCACTCTCATAGTCGCCCACTTGACATCTACGATTCCTCAGCCAGTTTGAACTTTTTGGTTGACACCGGTGCCGAGGTTGGTGCTATTCCTCGTGCTGCAGGAAATGGCAACCTAATGGCAACTGGACTGATATTGCAGGCGGCTAACAATACGGAGATCCATACATATGTTTAGGAAATCCTCACGCCCAAACTTGGTCTCTGCCAAAGATTTTCCTTCGTTTTTCTCAAGGCCGAGGTACAACGCCCCATCCTTGGTGTTGATTTTCTTACCAAGTTTGACCTCATCGTTCACCTGCGTAGCCTGAATTGCGCGATCGTTTGACATATTTTCCTTTTCGGATAAAGTTATCTCGATCGGTCTTCGCTTAGCATTACCCGCCAACAATGTGCTCATCGAACTACTTCTGACATTTCCTGCTCTCTATCAATTGTCTAACCACCTTCCTGAGTATTTGCACGGAAGTACGCATCACATCGCAACGTATGGACGGCCAGTAACGACCCGACCTCGAGGATCACCTACAAACAAAGTCGTTGCTGCCAAGACAGTGGTCATAAATGGGATGGCAAAACACATCGTAGGAATCGGGGGATGAAAACTAAAACACGTCGTTATTTCGATCGTTGCGAGACTGAGCATGTTGAGAGCAAATATTATGGAGTCCAACAAAGTTATCATCCTCCTAAAACGAGAGAAGCCTTTGTGTGAATACGGGCCGTAACCACTTACTTGTCATGGAACAGGTGTACCCTTTCACTCGGTTGCTACGGCGTTACGCGGGAGCCTGGTCTTGCAACCACTCATTAGCAAGAACCATTTCGTGTTTATAGTTGACGAGAGACTGTGTGCAGTGTGAGTAGACCGCGTACACGATTCCGCTAATTTAACAAAGATAGAGGACATCAATTCACTTGGGGCTGAGATAAAGGTAAGTAGATACCGGATGCGGATGTGATTGAAGAGGCGTACAGCCCATACAATTCTCCAATTGTTTTGGTGAAGAAGGCTGATGGAAAGTACCGTTTCTGAGGACTTCCGAAGGTTGAATGAAATCGCCATAACTCATTTCGTTCCAGTGCCACCAGTCGCCGACATCCGAAACAGACTGCTGCGGTCTAGGATATCCACGGTCCTGGGCATAAGAACTGGATATTGACAACCGACGATCAAACGAGAGGACCGAAAAACAGCGTTTACGGTCGGTGAGGAACAATGCCAATTTGAAAGGATATCATTTGGATTATCGGGAACGCCGTTTATCTTCCAACGTTTACTGCTGTGCTTAATGCGTGGCTTGCAGAACATGGCAGTATATGGGTGTGACGTCGTGGTGTATAGTCAATGAGGCGGAGTACATCCGTCATATCGCAGCAAACCTGGAGCGGGCCGAAATCCCAGAGTTGGAACACTTCTGTGACATTACTGTGTCATGAAGTGGGGCAAGGTGGACAGAAGCCATTGCCTAAGAACATGTTGATGCAAAGTACCCCAGTCCCTACCTCAAAGCGCATTTTAGGAGCGTCCTTGGGCCGTACCCCGTACGTCAGTGAATTCATCAATGTGGTATCAGCCTTGTATGAACTTTTGAAAAAGAAGAAACTTGCTTGGACCACAGAAGCCAAGCGGACTTCGAATTGCATTCAGCAAGTAACGGGAAAACAGCAGCTGAGCTTGAAGTTGCCTATTACTGGAGAGATGTTCATAGTCACTAACGCTAATGACGTGGGAGTCAGTGAAGTTCTAAAAGACCACAGGACGGATTAATCCGCCAGCAGAATTTGGACACCGGTAGAATGCAAACACTCAACCATAGAAAAGCAATGTCTCGCAATCATCTGGGCATTAGATAAATGGCGGTCGTACCTGCTAAGTCAGTGATTTAAATTCGAAATGAGCAGCATACCATTGGAAAGCATTAAGTCCGCCAAAGAATACAGGGAAAAGCTGGTGGTATGAGTACTGCGCCGTTAGGAATATGAATTCACGTTAAACGTGTCGGGGAATAGAAAATAAACTGCGGAACTTTGTCACATACGACGAATGAAGATGACCTACAAAGCGTGGCTCTCTTTATCAACGGTATATTGTTGGAACAGGATCTGGGATAGTTGGTAGCCGAAAAACGTAGTGGCAAACTCTTGCACAAACTGAGCACTGCACGAAGAACCAGACAAACAGTCCCAAAAAAGAACCAACACATGCAGCTCGGACCGTCTGCGAAAACTCTGTAAAAGCGGCAAGTAAATGAAGTGGGAATAGTGTTGTGGAATCCAGGAGGTAGCAACACTTCAGTGCTGATTATTCCGACGAAGCTAAGGCGGAAGCTACTGATTTCTTGGCATGAAATGGCAGACACCGGTTTTGTCAGGACCTATGGTTTGATGCGACAACGCGCCTGCGGGTCAGGCATGAACGTCGAGAAACATGTCCTGTAGTTACAAACGTCAGCTCTTGAAAACCGATTGCCGAAGAGCACAACAACCATCACTGCCCATTCCAGTGCCTGAAATTGGGGGGGGGGGGGGTTGTAGCCGATTGACGTCATGGGACTGTCTCCACAGACCTAGCAGGGAAAACAGCACATGCTATCGATGGAGGAGCATTTCGCGTGCTGGAGTGAGGCAACGTGAATCCGAGCATCCTCACCTATACCGGCATGAAACATTTGGTATCCCAAAGGCTACAGTAACTAACCAGCGTCCGTGCTTCGAGAGTGAGGAATGCAGGATTCATTAGGAAGAAATCGGCATCAAGAAAGTGAGAACAACCCCGTAGCATCTGCAAACAAATGGCTTAATGGAAGGGAACAATATAACAATTAAAGAGTTGGTAGCGGAAAAGGGTGGAGAATAGGAGGAAGTTTTGTTGACCCATCGAGTATCCAAGCTGGTCTCCACAAAGAAATCGCTGATTCAATTGCTGTACGGTCGGGAACCTCGATCACATGTAGATCTAGCAATTGGAATGTGACCGACCTGCCGAATATCCAAAAAATAGAGGTACAGAACAGTAGAAAGATAGCTAACCGTAACCTGAAAGTAAACCAGGCTCAAAGGATGGGGAAGTTCCCAACCAACAATGGCAAACCGCAGGGTATTTCCTATAGGTTTGAGAGTGAAAGACAGAGATAAACGACGCACGTACATACATGTGGCCCAGGTGAAAGAAAATTCCTACCAAAGGGAATGGGTCATTTGAGGTGGTGAACCGGCGGGCCCAGGGCACACAATTCATCGGCAAAGAGCTCCATGACCAGTACATGCCAGCGGTCTGAGTAAGTGGCCCGAATTAGAAGAGGAAACCCTTTCGCACAGTGAGCAGTACCGAAGATCAGAAAAACACCGGGCGGAGATAACGGAGGCGGACAATTTGAAGGGGGAGGAGTGTAACGAACAAAGATGAGATACCAAACGTGGCGCTTATTATCAGCGGTATACTGTTGGAGCATGATACTGGACAATTGTTATCCGAATTGACAATGACCATCGGATCACAGTAGCAGAGCGGATCTTGCGCAACACTTCCACTGGTGAACCTAATCACTCATTTATAGGTGACAGTGATCAAAGAAGAATTGCTCAACGTTGTCTTAAAATGTAGTACCCAACCGTTACGTTGTACATACCATATATTTGGCGAAAACCGAAAAGACAAAACCCAGATGTAGTGAGGGACCACTGACGCCGCAAAATCGCCCCAAACTGTTCAAAAAATAGGCACGCACAAAACTATTTCTACGTAATCACGACGACGTGAAAGGCATGTTTCTAATGCGGTTCGACAGGGCGTATGCTAGAGACGCTTTTGCTAACCTTCGTCACTTATGGCGCCGGTGCGACATCACTCTCGCCCTGAAGGGTAGAGTGTAAAATACAGCGGTACGTTCGACTCCACTATACCGCTGTGATACCTGGTCCCTTAAAGCAGTGGACCTGAAGAGACTCGTTACGTTCGACCACCGGTGCCTTCGCAATTTAGCTCACATCTGGTGGGAACACCGAGTTAGCAACGAGCGTGTTCGACGCCTTGCTTACGGCACAGGAAAAGAAACTGAACCGCTCAGCACCGGCATTTTACGCACCAGGCTCCGATCGCTCGGCCACGTGTTACGCTGCCAGCCCACCAAATCCCGCGACGTGCGTTGTTTGCGTGCCGGGGTTGTGGATGGAAGAAGATGGGTGGCCAAGCGATGACTTGGTCGATAGGAATGAAGGCCCTCACTTCGGAGCTGGCCTCGGTTGGAGCGTCTCGGCTCCCTGGTTGTGGTCCGGAAGACAATGAACACGTTTGGCTGGATACACTTGCTGATATGGCTAGGAGTCGACCTCAATGGCGTTCGTGCTGTGAGTTTCTTTGTCCCACCCCATCCCTCTTAGCCTCCCCTTCCAAGCACGATCTCACTATTTAGCCTTATTTAATTCTGCATAGTAATTTTCTTGATGCACAGTAGCCGGCTGGTAGCTTATCGGAACGATGCCCATCCGTTACCGGTAGCTCAGCCGGCTTGCACCAGCTGCATTTTTTTTCTTCTATGTATTGCGGCACAGTAGCTGAGGTGTTTCCCACCTCTGGCTGACGTGTACAATGATGATGAGGATTGATGCAAACCGCGAGCGTGTCTCGGATTTCTAGTTGGGATTAGCAGGTTCAGGTAATATTGAGGAAGACACAGTGTGAGTAAAAACAGTTCATGGCCTGATCGCAGCAAACCCAATGGTGAGACCTCATTTTACATAAATATTGCATATAGCGTGTTGCATAACTAACGGTGCACATTCGCTGTCTTCTAGAAACCTGCAACTAGGATGGCTGTAGTTCGCGTATAAGCATCTATTTAAAAGGATGTTAATCGCAACTTGATGCAACATGTCACACAAGAGAGCACATCAAAGCCCAGCTAGTACTCGGCCAAGCATTGCAATGTAGACGAACGACGGCGACAAAGAACGGCCTGCGCTACGTCAATTCTTGTATCGGTGTGGCGACACATGGTCAACGGTCTTATAAATCGAAACAACAAAAGCCGATTAAAAGTCGGCGAGGCCAGATCCAAGCACATATTAGAATCGAAAACATAAACCAAATTCAGTTGTAGCGGGAATAAAGAAATCCAAAAACAAACAAGATTGAACAGTAAAGGTCAGCTAATCAGCGCCACACTGCCCGGGCAGCCAAATTGCCACAATCTGTGCTTGATTAATGAAGAACTGATCACATCGCGTCGATAGTTGCCTCAGCGTAATGTCCAGCAGGATTGGTCACTGTGATCAGAGGGCAGGCCACAGAAGGAGCACTTGGTTTGGAGGGTTTAGAACAACCCCTCATAGGCCGTAGATCTCTGTCAATTGCGCTGCAATTGCAGTAGATAGTTCGAGGATTAGACGAAGGCTGACGTTAAAGTGAGAGAACAAGAGGTCAATAATTGGAAAGCCCGTATGAACAGAGGTGTTGCAAATCAAGAATCAAGAAAAGGGGCGCCATAGTAGGGCCTTGTGTATTTTTTTTAGCAAACTAGGGGTTCTAAGCAAATAGACTGTCCAGCACTGATGTAAACTAAAGCCCAAGAGTATTATGGGCCGAGTTTTGTGTAACTGCCGGGTTAAGTCAAGGCACGTGAAGTGTTGACTGTGGGCATGCGTTCTGGTGAGTGCATAACTCGGGTAGCTTCGATCAAAACCATTTCAGTTCATTAGTCAACTCAGACAAGGAACATAAAGCATTAAACACCCACATGTTGCCATTAGAAATGTTGAAACAAAATGGAGAAAGAGAGCAAAACGCAAGTGCTAAATTAAAACAGAACAACTCAAGGATGGAGCTAGAGAAGTGGCAGTTGAAATGAAGGGAGTAAATGCGCCCGAACACCCATGTACAGACAGTACACTGTCCGGGAGACCAGAGGGTGCCTCTCTCAATAGGGTACCCAATTTCAGCGCTCCAGTGCATGATCCACAAACGCAGTAATCTTCAGATTGGCAGTGCCTGGAAATACATCACTAAGTGAGCATACGGCAGATTACCCCAGTGTAAAGGTTTCAAAAGGTCCAGACAACGAATGGGCCTCAGTCAGCTTGGTGACCGACATATTTTTGTTTTGGAGACGAGTTGGACTTCAGCGCGAGACGCTGATCAAACCGACAGAATAAGGCAAGCCCACAGTTTGTTGCATAAAAGAAAGGGAAAAATAAATGTTGCCAATCTAAGATAAATAGCGTCGTAACTTTGCATGGCGCTTTGGTATAGACAGTCAAAACTGGTGACCGTTATCAAATACTCCTAATCAATGGAAGGCTAGTGGAGTTAACAGTGCGTCGGTACCCTGTATGGAAGCTTCGCTGTAGCGTAACCATTAGTGGTTGCAAGTGGATTAGGACACTCCGCGGTTATCCATACATACGCAGAAGTTCGAATCAGTGACAAGTGGATTTAAAGTAAAGTGACGGAACCGGCCCAATGGTTAGATACTATCCAATGTTTAACCAAGTGGACAGAATTCGGTGGATACAAAATAGTTCCGGATTGCTAATTGCAAGATATCGATTCGCATCAAGTCGGAAGGAGAGATCAACGCTATAGGTCCATTTGAAATGAAAAACAAAATGAACGTGTAACAGTTGAAAAACAGAAAGATACGGCAATGTAAGTATGCACTAGTTTGATCAACATCATCATGAATACACGATAGCTAAGGTGCCTCAACATATAAAAGAGATAATATTAAATATAACACACTAAAAACTAGTTTGCTTTTCAAAAAACAATGCAATGCTAAATATCACGTTAAATATCGGGTATGAGATTGTGGTTGGAGGGAGGAGCTGGAGGGTTAGGACAAAGAAACTCATAACACCAGCAAGATTAAGATCGGCCTCTCACCAATTCAACAAGTGTGTCCAACGAAATCGCTAGTAAGGTGAGCACCCATGCGCAGTTAACGTGTCAGACAAACGTGTACTAAACAATTTCCATGATTGATCCATAATATGATATCAGAATTTGTTTGAATAACTGCGCAAACGATAGCTACCGTGGCTACATGCATCAAAACTGAGTGCAGAGAGACTTGGAAGATTGGTTTATGTAGTTGTCATGACTTGGATGAATAAAAGCTAAAATTATTAGTCGGCGTTGGATCGAGACCTAGGGGAGGGTGCAAAAAGGTTGCAAAATATAAACCAATTGAGAATTCATCGCAGCAGCCTTCAAAACAGATAGTCCTCCACATGCTAGGAAAAGCAATAGACTGCAGTTTCAACCGGTTGGGCATCATCAAAAGTGCACATCCTATGGCCAAAGACGGCTAGAACCGACAGCAAATCATGTCACTGGGCTAGTACAGTTGAAGACCGTCAGGACTCAAAAGCTAACTGCGGTACAGCGCGTCTTGTCCTCCACTGCTATGCAAGTTAAGAATGTTGCAAATGACAGGGTTGGCCCCGAAAGATGCGACGGCCAATGACATTAGCTACGTACGACATAGCATCTAGAAACTGTTAGGGCGGAAATTGTTGGACGGATGCGCAATACTGACGGCCGTTCTCATGCGCAGTCAAAGGCCTCACATTCTCATACTACTTGGATCCACTGCTACTGATGTCAAGTGGTCGCTGCTAGGCGTACAACAACAGCTGATATTGACACTGAACATTCGGTGGTGGCGTGAAGCGCACCAATAGATCTCATGTGGCCTTGCTCCCCCATAGAGTCTGTTGCCTGCACGCACGTGGAAGTATTCGATAACTCAAAGCCAGTCGCCATTATTGGTGATCTTGTCAACCAGCGCCACCAGCAACCCATCACACCGACCACATCGTCCGCCAGTATGCCCACAATTGACCTTTGTAATCACATCGCTCGCTTGACTGGGGTGCGCAACCGGAAAAGTACACATCACCTAGCTCAAAGTGTAAGCTAGCTACACTATGCTGAGTATCAGAGAGCGAATCCAAAAGGCGCCAGGCGAAGGGTAAATGTG